TATATATATATATATATTATTTCCACATTATTTCCACATAATACAACTACTTATATCCACAATGAGTAGTTTACGATGATATTAGGATATAGTAAACAACCTAGACCTAGCCCATACTTCTAGGCAACATTTTTTACAAGGTACTAATGATAGAATGTTCTCATGATTACATTGAATTTCACCCAGTTCTACTTTCTGTAAGGTATTTTCATCCAGGGTGTACTGTATCTAGACGAGGTTGAAAACGCAGTCATTTCCACTCTGGATGCGAAGGGAGGCAAGGTTGTATGGAATTCACAGGCATCGTGTGGCCCATTTTTAGAGTTGTGTGATGTCTTAACTATCAGTTCTTCCTCACCCCTTGCGATCTAGGATCAATATAGCTCTTATAGAGGATAGTTAGTCGATCGGCTCAACTAGGCGTGCCGAATGATTAGTCTGATTTTATGAAAAAGAACTATTGCCTGACATGGTACAATCGGTACCAGCAGAACGCGATGTTCTGTTCTTGTCTAGTGGGTCCTGAAGAAGAAGTTCGAAAGGATACTCTCGAAAATGGTCGTATTAAGAGGATGAGTTGGTGTGTTGATTAAGATTTGGGCTAATTGACTACACCTCATTCATCCTTCCAAATTCTCGATGCAGCCTCAGAGCTGACTACTCGCAAGTTCTACTCAGCCTCGACGTCAATCAGGGTCGACGGGGAGTTCGGTATATCCCGAATTCCGAAGATAATAGGAAAACTACGGAGGTGTACCAGAATAAGGTGAATAAGTGACTAGACCTTACGATGTCATCTTCATTTGTATGGACAGCTCAAAAATTTGTTTTTCATCCATCCCCAACTGAAGTTTAGGACTTGCCTCATCATCTATCCCGACATCAATCAGCCTCCTTTAGCTGAATGCACAACTAGCGCTATGACTTGGGACTCAAATGCTATTATTCTACTTGTTATTTTTATTGTTTTTGTTATTGTTCATATTTGCCAACCAGCACAAACCTATTATACATCTAACAAAGTTGCCTTTTACTTCTTTAATTCAGTCACAAGTGGTCCCGGCTCGGAATACATCATCAAGGTAAGCCTACACCGCCCGTTTCCGACCGTTCACTAATTTCAACATGATGCTTATACTTTTGTAATTTAATTCAACCTTTGGCTCCAAGTCTTGCCAGATGACGCATAACCACATAGTTGTCATGTCATGACTCTGCTTGAAATTTCCCACCTTTTAGACTTGCCAAGCCAGTTTCGGGGCATACTACTCAAATGCAGCGATTGCCTTGACCCAGCAATTCTCGGATTATCTCGCTTAGTGCGAGATCTAATTTATCCACATTTATTCTACTCCTTATGATTATCACCCAATTATCCATAGGGCGTATATCCACTGTTTTGATGCGATAATAAGTGAATGTCAGATAAGAAGTCAACCGATCAACTCATTTTGAACAACTTATTCGTACTTTCGGGCAATATTTCGACCACCACCATTGCAAGGTTAACCAGATTAAGATCCCCACCATCTTGGTCGTCATATCTACAACTTGAGAGAAGCGTCGTTTGCCACGTAACCATGGCTGCAGCTTGCGCAGGAAAAGGGAGGCATCAAAATGCCACTTGTACCACCAGTTTCGGCAGGCCAAGTAATTGCGTTTTATCTTCAATTCGCCACAAGCTAGTTGGCTGGTACCAACGTGATGAGGAGGTATACGCGAGATTTCTGGTCTGGTTTGGCTCTGGAAATCGTGACCACGTCCCATTCTTGGATACTCGAGGTTCGATTGCATCCACTCTTAAAAAGACATACTTATGCTCTAACGGCCTCCCCCGCTTGAATCTTGTCATGTCTTATCATGTCAATATTTCAGGCACTAATGTCTTGTTACTAGGTTGCACCTGATAGCTTGTAGAAAAACTGGGCTTCGAAAACTTTCTTTCATTTCGTTTGAAGAGGCCAGTGTAAGGGATTCATGAGTTGATTAAACCGGAGGCTGGGGTG